AGAAGATGCCAAGAAAGAAATTGTTTTGAATGAACCACTTGGATGGGAGGAAAACATTGTCAGAGATTTTTAAAGAATGCACAGCTGAGGGCTGGGGTTGTGGCTCAGCAGTAGAAAGCTCGCCTCACATTCGTGAGGCACTGGGTTCGATCCTTAGCCCCACATAAAAATATAGAGATATTGTGTCCACCTACAACTAAAAAAATAAATGTTAAAAAAAATGCACAGCTGAGAGTAGATAACAGAAGAGTAAGTGAAATCAAAATGCATCAATAGACACTGTATAATCTCAGGAACACAGAGATGAAAAGATTTTAAAAAATGAACAGAGAATGAATGATGCGTGGGAAAATATGAAAAGATCTAATAGGCATGTAATTGGAATTCTGAAGAGGAGACGAGACGAGAACGAAGCCAGACAAAAATATTTGAAGAAACCAAAAAAAAAAAGAATTACAGAATCAATTATATCAATCAAATCTAGGCATGTGATAGTCAAACTGCTGAAAGCCAACCACAAAGAGAAAATCTTGAGTAGGTGAAACAAAATGTCACATTACATATGGGGGGGGGACGACAATGGTTCAAATGACCTTATCACTAGAAAAGATGGACATGAGACAATGGAATCACACCTTTAAAATGTGGAGAGAGAAGAGAGAGAAGAAAGGCAACTCACAATTCTGTATCCAGCAAAAATATCCTTCAAGAGTAGGGCAAAATGAAAGCATTTTCTACAATGAAAATGCAAGAGAATTTGTCACCAGCGGGCCTGGACAACAATGAACACTAGAGGGCGTTCTTGAGGCTGAAGGGAGACAATACTAGATCAGACTACCTTGACACCAGCCATTAATAATGTACAAAAGCCACGACCAACATCTCCTTGATGGGCCCGCTGGTCCCATGGTGGAGGTTAATGAAAGGTGAGGTGAGCTTTAGGGCTACTCACCAAAATCGTTCTGGTTTTCTTCTGTAAGCGAATGGCTGCTCTGCTGACTCCACTTGCTGGGGTCGTGTGGGGCAGTGTGACTTGCTTTAGTAATGAAATGGGGCAGAAAGTACTAGAGGGTGAGATTTGCCTCGGGTCCTTTCCTTTGGCCTTAGCCTTCACTGTTATTAATCCAGGGTCTCTGGAGATACAGAGCCTACATATACAGACCCTTCCTCTAGTTTATGCTTGCTTGGGGGTTTCTCAAGTGCCTGCAGATTTTAGTTTATGATATTTATTCCAGGAGGTTGTAGCTATTATTCTGCCATTACTGGAAGCAATTGCCTCTTTTAATCTTATTATTTTATTTTAAAAATTTTATTATTAGTTGTTAATGAACCTTTATTTTATTTACTTATATATATGTGGTGCTGAGAATTGAACCCAGTGCCTCACACAGGCTAGGCAAGGACCCTACCACTGAGCCACAACCCCAGCCCTCTTTTTATTTTTTAAGATGATAAAATTGGGGGCTGGGGTTGTGGCTCAGTGGTAGAGCGCTCGCCTGGCATGCATGAGGCACAGGGTTCCATCCTTAGCATGACACAAAAATAAAATAAAGATATTGTGTCCACTTATAACTGAAAAAATAAGAAAAATTATAAAACTTGATACATAGTTACAGCTTTTTTACCTTCTATTTTACAGAGGTTTTGGTTTTGGTTTGGTTCTAGGGATTGAACCCTGGGGTGCTTTACCACTGAGCCACATCCCCAGCCCTTTTTATTATTTATTTTTTTAAGTTTTGAGACAGGGTCTCAGTAGGTTGCTGAGGCTGGTTTTGAACTTGTGATCCTGCTGCCTCAGGATTCCTGGCTTACAGAGCTCTTCCTCCTGTCTACGGTGCTCCCTGTGTTCCTGTAGGACACCCGTCCTGCAGTGTTCTCTCAATTCTTCCACCCTGAAGGGGAGTCCGTCCTAGAGAAGCTCTCGGTGATCTTCCAGTGGATCTCCCGTCTGCTCCAGAGCCCTCTTCTGTGAGGTCAGAGCGCTGCCAAGGCCACGTGAGCTGGCTGAAGTCTCCTGCCTGAGCCCACAGTCTCCAGGCCGCTTTTCCCCCGTGTTCATCTTGTCTAAGCAGTTGCCTGACTTCCAAAGTCATTTCCCCTCTAGAATACCTGGGACTAGTGTGACAGTGACCCTGAAGGCTTAGCACCTTCTGACTGTGAAAACAAAACATGAAAAATGTAATAAAGGCATGACATTTTAAAGGTGTGGGTGGTGTTGGACCCACCTAGTCCAGTCTTTTCATATCCATGTTGAGGGTCCAGATCCAGGGTATTTGGACTAATGGTGGCTGTCTGCTCACTGAGAAGCAGAAGCAGTGGCGCTCCACTGTGGACTCAGTGGTCTCAAATTCATTTTATAGAGTTTGAGCTATATTTTTCTACTGTCATCCAAAAGTCTTATGTGAAAGACCCTCTTAACATCCAAACATTCACCTATGTAGTAGTTAAGGACATCGTGGTTGCTCCCAAGTATTGACAGTTATATACAACGTTGCATAAACACTTTGTGTAGTTTTTTTGTGTGGGTGTAAGTTCTCAATTTCTTTGGGTAAATACTAAGAGTACAATTGCTGGATCACATGGTAAGAGAATGTTTAGATTTGTAAGAAACTGCAAACTGATTTCCAATGTGGCTGTACCATTTTGCATTCCCACCAGCAATGAATCAGAGTCTACCACCTTACCAGCATTTGGCGTTGTCAGGGTTTTGCATTTTGTCTGTTCTGATGGGTGTGTAGAAATAACATTGTTTTTGTGGTTCACTGGTGCTGGGGATCAAACCCGGGGCCTCAAGCATGCTAGGCAAGCACTCTTCCATGGAGCTATAACCTCAGCCAACCTCAGAGTTGTTTTAATTTGCAATTCCCTCATGGCAGAGGATTGTTCAGCATCTTTTCATATGCTTATTCGCCATCTGTATATCTTCTTTGCTGAGGTGTCTGCTTAGGATTTTTTTTTTGTTTTTTACTTATTTTAAAATCATGTTGCTCATTTTCTCTCTCTCTCTCTCTCTCTCTCTCTCTCTCTCTGTGTGTGTGTTTGGATAATAAGTCCTTTACCAGATTTCTCTCTTGCAAATATTTTCTCCCAATCTGTGGCTTGTCTTCTTATTCTCTTGACACTGTCCTTCACAGAGGAGAAGCCTTTAATTTTAATGAAGTCCAGCTTATTATTTCTTTCATGAATCCTGGCTTTGGTGTTGTGCAGTTGGTTTTAATAACCAAAACAATGACAATAACAAGACTGAACCAAAGTGGGATGTTAATTGCCATAAAAGTAATCATTTGGTATGAGCTTGAGCTCAATAGTGATGTTTTACTTGGCATTTAAGGATCCTCCATGAAGATCATTTCCCTGGACATGTAATATGAAAACATAAATATTTACAATTACACTGTGCATCACTGGAAGGATTTCAAGTGCAATGTCTGCAGTACAAACAGAGAAGCCCGCATGTGCCGGCCCTGACGTGGGGCTAACAGGGAATAACCATTTCTTCACCTGCTGCTCCTAACGTCTTGTTTGACCAAGGTCAGGTATTGTCATGAGAGGTGCTGCTCCCTCTGCGGGGAGGTGTCCCATAGAAGAACACCTTCCTTCACCTCCTCAGAGGCAAAGACCACTGCTGCTAATGAGCATACTCGATAGACATTTTGAAAAATGGAGATTTGTACCATGTCGCAGAGGAAATGACAATGACAGTCGCATTTCTGGAAGGAATCCTGCTTTGAGAGATGGTACCATGTCAAGAACTGTTCTTTCAGGCTGAGCAGGTAGCAGAACCAGGAACAGCCTGCTGAGAGTGTTCCACATGTGGCCTTATCCCTGTACCTGGGCAGTCTATTCATGATCTTATTGAGTTGGCGTTCAAGGGCAAAGGAAAGAGATCAGCTAGCACCCGCCATCACCTCTACAGGGTTCTTGAGGGTCTTCTCTGTGGTGGATACTTTCTGGTGTGCACTGACACAGACACAAAGATGGCTACCCTTCCTGCGCATTCCCTTGCTTCTTCTCCAGACCTCTTTGGTTTTGATCTGCTTATTTGTTTCCTCTCCTGCCTTTTCTGGGTTTTTGGCCAATCTGTCAGCCACTTCCACTACCTAGGAGTCAGGCCACTTCCTCCTCCATCAAACGGCGAGGGGTGCTGCTCACAGATCTGCCCACCACTTGTCCTTTGGGGCCATCCTTTAGTGAGGCTGGAGTGTGGCAGCATCCCATGGCCAGCTCACACTAACAAACAGAGCCGACTGATCCATAAACCAAACCTGATTTTTCCCCCTTTCTTCCTCTGATCTGTGGTTGCAGGAAAGTCACTTCCTGTCCCACAAGCCCAGAGCTGTGAGTTGAGGAAGAGGCATTGTGTATCACAGTCGGGTGGCAGGGAAGTCTAAGCCGTCTATCTGTGTGTTGCTCTGTGGTTCAGGCTCCTGGACATGATCCTGAATGTGTGTTTCCAAGATGGAATGCGGGCTGTAGTGTGTGCACACGTAAGTGAACGCCTGTTTCAGAGCAGAAGGCAAAGGGCACAGCGTGCACTCGAGGCAAGATGCTCCTAGGGTGAAGTGAGTCGAAGCCTTGGCAGAATTGGCCACCGAAGCCACTGCTGGAATTTGAGATGTGTTGGGGGAGGGGGCGCGGGGACATGAGCAAGGCCCTAATATGCACCCCATCTGCTTTGGTTCTATTATTAAAACTGATTTAAATTCCCTGCCCCTGATTCTCTTTTTCGCTTTGGAGGAAACACAATGACCAGACTGGGAAAGCCAAGCAAGAGACCTTGGAGGATCTATCCCCAGCCCGAGAAGCCATGGAACACCCATTATACACTCCCACAGACTGTGCCCACTGCTGAACACGTTTCCCCCTTGCTCATCAAAGAAAGCTTGGCTTTCATTCAAGTTGCTGTCTAAGATGCAGGAAAAGAAGATACAAATATTATATAGCCCTTTCCCTCTTCCCGCAGCACACCCACAGCTTTGGCAGCAGAGCAGGTTAGTTACCTGGAAAACACCTGTATGGAACCGGACGGCCCTCTGATCACGTGGTTCTTCCAGCAGCTTCTGGTGGGGGGTTTTCTGACTTGCTTACCCGAGGCCACCTCCTACAACTTATTAGAATCCTGGGCTTCCTGGTTTGCACTGTGACTGCGCTGTAGGGCCTGAGCCATTCACCTCCAAGGAAGCTTGGTGAGGCCACCCGTGCTGGAGAGGCGCAGGGCCGGGAAGCAACAGAAGGGGACACCTTTGCTCCTACAGCGCATTCCAAGGCCAGGCTTCTCTGAGGCCAGAGGCTCTTCTTCCTGGCTTTGGATAATTGCAGGATGACCTTGGCAAGGTCAATAGGAAGCACAGGCTGGCCGTGGAGTGTGGACTGTCACCAGGAAAAGGCCCTGCTGCACAGTAGGGTGGTTCCAGCTTCTCTGTGCCCTCTGTGCCTTGAAACAGGCAGATGATTCCACTTCCAATTGTGCCTTCATGGAGGCTGAGGAATAACAACAACATTCCTATCTGTCCCCTATCCAGAGGGACAGCAAGCGACTGCTGACGGAGGACTTTGGGGTTTGTGAGCTCCTTTCCTGAGTAGGATCGACACCCCCATGAGGACCCATGGGGCAGGGTGCAGGACTGATGGACCATACCCCAACCTGGAAGCTCCCTGGAGGCTCCAGTGTCCTGGCCACCAAGCTGCAAGCTCATCTGAAGATGGACCTCAGCCCCTACCCCACCCCTAGGATGGGGCTCATAGGACATGTGGCCTGGGAACACACTCATGTCTCAATCACCTACAAACTCCAAACCCGAGCCTCTGTCCCAGTCTTCCTGCCTGTGTGGTAGAATGTGTCTGGGCTTCAGCCTCCAGGGCTGGGTTCTTAGTTCAATTAATGCATCAGTATTTTACCTTCTCCCCTCCCCCACTCGTCTTTTCCCTCTTCCTTTCCAAATCACTGTTGGCACTCTTGGGTTCATCCCTCTGTACATTTCTCCTTGCTCATATGATCTTTCATTTATACCTACACGCTGTCCTTGGTAGAATCCTGACTTTATTTGCATCACAATGTGGTCAGCGTTGGCAATGGGTCAAGATTGGTTCAAACCAATAATGATAATGCTTTCCCCATATTCCCTAGTCTACCTTGAAGCCAAAGGTAGCCGTGTGATCCAGTTTGGGCCAAATATTAGTGGAACATAAGATAGTTGGGGTTTTTAAGAAAACATTTGCTGGCACATTTAGCAGGGTCTTTGGCCCTCTGTCCTTCTCATTCATAGAAAGCAAGTGTGTGGCCTGTTAGTGCTGCAGGCATCTTGTAGCCGTGAAATGACAAATCACCATGTTAAGGACGGTGGAGTTGAAATATAAAAAGAATGGGTCCTTCAGGGGCCTGCTGAATGACTGAATGGATGCTAGACACTATCTTTAGGCTAAAAATCATGGTAGAAGAGCAAATCCCTATTTGTTTAAATCACGGCTAGGGTGGTTTACTTTTATAGCTGATACAAAATGATATGCATGCACATTCATGAATTTTTTTGGTCTTCAATTAACAAAAATACATTGTTATCATTGCATATACAGCCATGTGTCACATGGTCAAAGACAAACTACACATGATGGTGGTCCTACAGATTCTCTTGCCTTAGCAGTGTTGTAGCCATCAGTGTGTGGGGGTACACTCTACATTGGTCCCACAATGATAAAATCACCTAACAAGACATTTCTCAAAATGCATCCCTCCATTAAGTGTCGCATGACTATTCCTCTCATTTGATAGTATCTTTCTTAAAATCATAATCTAAATGGAAAGCTGTTCAAGTCCATGGGCACAGCTCTTATTTATTATTTAAAAATATTTTACTGATGGCCCTGAAAAGGCAATACTAGTACATGGCTTAAAATTCAAAATGTATACATGGAAAAGAATTCAGCTACTTTGGAAAATCGGTAGCTCCACAAAAAGTTGAATATAGATTTTCTATGTAACCCAGAATTTTCATGCCCAAGAAAATGAAAATATGTTACTCATGCACGAAAGTGTGTACACAAATATTCATATCAACTTTATTCAGAATAACCCAAAAGTAGTGGAAAAAAAAACCTAAATGCTTATCTATTGATGGAGAGATTATGGTATATTCATAAAATGGAATATTAGTAAGCAACAAAAATGAAATACTGATGATGCTACAATATGAATCCACCTTGAAAGCTATGTGCCAAGTGAAGGGAGGCAGACACTAGCATGCATATGATTCTATTTATGTGAAATGTGCAGACTGGGAAACTCCATAGATTATGGTTATGTAGGGCTGGGGGAGGGGACATAGAGAATGACCGCTAATGTATATGTGATTTATTTTGGGGGTGTTGAAATGTTCTAAAATTAGATTTTGGTGGTGGTCAAAGAAGTCTGTGAATACATTTAAAAATCAATGAACTGTAGTCTTTAAATGGATGAATTTTATGGTATGTGTAATGCATTTCAAATAAGTTGTAAAATACAGTTTTAGACACAGTAAAAATGTTCTCTTCTGCTTCCTGCCCGAGCCAGCCAGTTTCCCTTCCTGGGAAAGCGACCACTTACCGGCTTCTTGCTATGCTTCTAAAGATATTTTATTTATACTTAGGCACACACACAAGCATTTTTACATGATTTATGGCACATACCTCACACCATTCTCTACCTTTTTTCACTTAAAAATGTGTTTTGGAGACACAAAAACCGAGAGGAGAATGTTCTGGGAAGACAGAGGCAGATGGAGTGATGGGTCTTCAAGGCAAGGAGCACTGACCGGACACTGGGAGAGAGGCCTGGGCACAGGCTTCTCTGGAGTACTCAGAGGGGACATGGCCCTGCTGACACCCTGCTTTAGGACTCCGAGCATCTAGAATTGTGAAAGAATAAATTCCTATTGTTTGAAGTCTGAAACAAGCAGACACTAATGATCTTGGAGATGATTCCATATTGACACAGTTAAGGTTGACTCTTTTCAATAGCTGCATGTTATTCAATCTCTTAATTTATTTGAAGAGTTCCCTATTGGATATGTACAGAATTTCCAATTTTTACTTTTTCAAACAATGCTGAAATAATGATCTTGTCCATACATCATTTCTCACCTTTGCAAGTGCATCTTTGGGATACAGTCTTACAATTTAAAGGTAAGTATATTTTTAACTTTAACAGAATCACCTGTTGATTGACCTCCATAGTGTTTGTGGGGAACAATCCTCCCATTGGTGATGCCTGAAAGTCTGCTTCCCCACAGCTCTGCTAATACCATGCCTTATAAAATTATTGACCTCATCAGTCTAGTAGTGGAAAATCATAAATTATTGTGGTTTTGATTTGTATTTTTAAATGTATAAGCATGTTAAGCATGTTTCCATGTTGAACATCATCAATCAATACCACCTCATTCAATAATATTGATGTCATATTCACTTCATTAAATCATTTGAATTTTCTTTTCTAAAAATGATTTTTCTTGTCATTTATTCATTTTTTTTCCTGTGGGCTGTCAGTCTTTTTCTCATTGTTGTTTTCTTGGAACTCTTTATGTATTAAGGATACAAGCCATTTGTCCCATTTTTAGCAAACGTTTCCCCAAGTTTTTCATTTGTCATTTGATTTTATCATTTTTATATTTGCCTTGAAGACACTCACTTTTTATGTAGTAAAGTGTTACTATTTTCTTTGATAGCTTCTGTGTTTTGTGACATACTTAGGCCATTGCCATTTGATATTGCAAATAATAATTTTAAAAATTCCTAGTGCTTTACATGTAAATTCCTTATAAAATTCATTTTGATGTCAGTTATGAGTGAGGGATCCAATCTATTTCTTTCTAGATGCTTTTCCAGTGGTTCTAATACCAATATTGAATAATCTGTTTCTCCCCACTCATTGGCTCTTCCACCTTTGCATGTGTTTGGATCCGTTTCTAGACCTTCTGAGCCACACTGTTAGCATTCCTGAAATAAGTATCTCTTAATAATGATGTATTATATTTTCAGTGTGGTGTTCAATTCTACTATTGCTACTATTTTGCTTAGGACTTTTGCTTCAATGTCCTGAGATTAATCTACACAAATACGCTTTACATAAGTGTATACAGTGTTTATTGGGTGTACATATCAAATGATATAGTTACTTTGTTAGAAGATTATGAAAAGCCAGGCGCGGTGGCATATGCCTGTAATCCCAGTGGCTTGAGAGGCTGAGACACGAGGATCGAGAGTTCAAAGCCAGCCTCAGCAATAGTAAGGCACTAAGCAACTCAGTGAGACCCTGTCTCTAAATAAAATATTAAATAGGACTGAGGATGTGGCTCAGTGGTTGAGTGTCCCTGAGTTCAATCCCTGGTATCAAAAAAAGAAAAAAAGATTATGAATAAGAATATTTATCTGAAAATACATGTAGAAAATCACTGATTATACAGCAACATCAAACAATTTGTCTAAGTTGTTTCAGGGACTTGTCTCATAGAGGTAGTCTTAACTATTTGACATCAAGTGTAGATATGGTTATTTTATTGTAAAAATTGCTATTCCGAAACCTGTTTGACCTACTGTTTTATATTGTAGCTAGCACTTTTTATTTGAACAACCATTTGCTCATAAGCAGCAGATGGCGAAGTCAAAATGACTTCCTAAAATCCTGCTGCTTATTAACTTTTTAAATGCTGCTGGGTTTTGTTTACTTTTTTTTTGAGATCTTTTGAAAGTAAAAAATATTGATATGGAGTTTAAGAAAAAGATTAACTTGAATCTAATGTATGAAATATGATATGTCAAGAGCTTTATAATGTTTTGAACAACCAATAAAAAAAATTAAAAAAAAAAAGATTATGGAAGTTTTCCTTATTTTTATAGCTCTGGAACAGTTTGGACTACATTAAAATTAGCTAGTCTTTGAAGGCATTTTAGAATTCCTCTGTAATCACCTGATTCTGCTGCTTTTTTGAGCTTTGTTTGTTAGTAACTTCGTTGTCTATAGAAATTGATCTTTTAAACTTGCTATCTCTACTAGGGTCAATTTTGGAGGACTGTATTTTCTAGAAAGTCATCTATTTCAACTAGGTTTTCAAAAGTAATTGCATAGAATTGTACAACTTAGACACATGCTATTTCAGGCGATCCGGATTTAATGGTTATCTCTATTTGTCATGTTTTAATTCGTATGCGCTCTCTCTCTCTCTTTAAATAATGATTAGATCCATGCGGAGGATTATTTTAAAGAACTACCTTTTTAGTCATTATGTT